ACTGAGAGGCTGATATTAAACGCTCAGCTCAGCTGCTCTCACAAGTCAAATGCCTATTTAATAGTTTTCACATTGTGTCTGACAGTCGGCTATTTTCATAATCTTTAATTTAAGGCAAACTGTTTTATCTCATTTGCAGTGCATTCCGCGCTGTCCTCATTACTCTGCTTTATGTCCTTATGGGGAGCTTATTATATCACAAAGGAATTGGCTCAGATAATATAAGAGGTCCTATTAACTGTATAGCTGCACACTGTGAACCCGACAGTTCTTGAAAATGAAAGACGGTCATCTTAATTATGTGGAAGCTGTTAGATCCTGAGACTTATAAAAAGAGCGTCGGTGATTTGGAGGAAATCCCACCACTGTACCTGACAAAGCCAGGGTTGGCATTGGGATTATTGGGTCGGGTTAGGCAACCGCTGCTCAACTGGTGAATGTTGGAAAAGAAATGATTTCTGTGGTAGATGCTGGAGATACTTTGCTGTCACCCTATTTCAGGGGTAGGCAACCTTAACCACTTGCCGTCCGCCTGCTGTTTATAAACGGCAGGGCAGTGGCACTCCAGGGGCGGGTTGCCGTTCATAAACGGCACCCGCTATTTCTAGCTGTGAGAGTGCGCAGCACCGCGATCCGGCGCCCGCTGTATCCTCTGGACACAGTGAAACACCGATCGTCGGACGGGACCTCTGTACAAGGTCCTAATCATGTGATCACTGATTGGCCAATCAGTGATCACATGCAAAGTAGTAAGCAAGATGTCACTTGTGACATCATTGCTTACTACGTGTGAAATCTGTGAATGATCACAGAGGTCACATGGTACAGGGCTATTCACAACAGCCTTGTACCATGTGACAAGCTGTGACCAATCACAGCTCACTCAGTAGTTCTCAATGGCTGCAAGAATGCAGACAGAGAGAAAGAGAAATGATTGCTTTTACATCCTGTATCGGTGTAAAAGCAATCAGTGTAAAAAAAAAAAAATCTTCATCACCCCCCACAAGTAGTACAGTGTCACCATGGTGACACTGTACTGCTAGGGTGACAGTATGTAAAAAACAAATAATAATATAAAAAAATAAAATAAAAATGGAAAGAAATGTTTAAAAATTATAATTTTTGGTTTATAAACTAATTTGGCTTATTTTTTTCTTACTAAAAAGATAACGGAATAAATTTCGGCCAAGATTTATGATGATGAAAGATTATGTATTTGCAAAATTTTATAAGAAAAACACTTTTTTTTTCAAAATTTTTGGACTTTTTCATTTACATAGCAAAAAAAATAAAAATCCCAGTGGTGAATAAATACCACCAAAATAAAGCTTTATCTGTCTCAAAAAAATGGCAAAAAATGCATATGGGTACAGTGTTGCATGACTGCGCAATTGTCATTCAAAGTGTGATAGCGCTGAAAGCTGAAAATTGCCCTGGACAGGAAGGGGGTGACAGTGTCCGGACTGGAAGTGGTTAAAGGGGAGCTCCACCCAAGGGGAAGTTCCGCTTTAAGGACTGCACCCCATTAAGGATTGGCACCTTTGTGGGGCGGGGGGGAGCGGTGTACCCGAATTAGACAGGTACCCGCTCCCACTTCCGGTCTGCCGAAGGTGTCCTTCCTCCCTCCCTCCCTGTAGTTTTTTGGGACACGTAACCAGCTCCTGGCATTTTAGTAAAAGGGATCCAGGTGACTCTACAGTCATCCAATTACTTTTACAATCCTGTGAATAGAAACTCCCCTCTCCCACTTTCCCCACCACTGCTCACAGTGGTTCCCAAGCTCTCCCCTTTCCTTTGACCCCGATCACCCCTGAAAGCATTTTGTCACTTCAAGTTTCAGAGCTGTCATTCCCAAGCTATTGTGGCTGGTGAAGCAGCTAATCAAACTCAATCAGTGCTTGATTAGCTGCAGTGGAGAGCAAAGGGGACATCAAGGGTCTAATAGAACCCTGATGTACACTTAAAGCGGGGCTCCACCCAAAAGGGGAAGTTCTGCTTTAAGGACTGCTCCCCGACTCCCCATTAAGGATCGGCACCTTTGGGGAGCGGGTACCTGAATTTGACAGGTACCCGCTCCTACTTCCGGTACAATCGCCTAGGCGATCGGAAGCGGAAGGTGTCCTCCCTCCCTCCCTGTAGTCTTTTGGGACACGTGACAGGTCCTAGAAGACTACAGGACCATTCATGAAGTGCAGTGCTACTTGCACATGCGCAGTGGGTACCTGGATGTGAAGCCTCAAGCTGCACAGCCGGGTGCCCACACTGAAGATGCCGGCCTCCTGGAATCCAGGACGGCCGGTGAAACGGGCTGCGGGGGACACACCACGGGACCGAAGGACAGGTAAGTGGCTGTTTTTTAAAAGACAGCAGCAAAAGTTTTTGTAGCTGCTGACTTTTATATTTTGACAGGTGAGTGGAACTCCGCTTTAAGCCCGGGTTCATACTGATGCAGTGCGAAATTTGCAGCGTTTTCTGTGTGAATTCAGCACCGCATCACAATCGCACCCCGTTCCTGCAAACCGCTACGGTTGTGTATGTTAACAACTCCCCGAAATCAGTCAGCAAAACGCAGTGCGATGTGCAGAATTGGATCGCATAGGTGTGAATATCCGATTCTAGTGCGGACCAAAAAAAGGGTCCTGCACCTTTTTGGTGCGTGTGCGGTGAGATTTGAGCCATGCAAAATGTATGGCTTCAATCGCACCGCACAGAATTCGCATGTGATTTGCACAGGAATGCCTTAGTACCACACTGCTCGGCTGGTCCTGACCTTGGTCTGGGCTCCAACTCTATGTCTCCTGGTCTGGTATGCCGCTGCCCAGGTCCAGGACAAGGGGTGGGCAGAAGGAGCAGCTGCCTTGGGCACAATGGTTTACTGTAGAGATGGGGCACTTTCCTTCTTTTACAAGGCTGACCGTCTGGAGTCTTTGCCCTGAGCGTTGGATGACCTTTTCCCGGCACTGCCGCTGCATAAACATGTCCGCCCTTGGCAAGGGCCTCAACCTAGTTTCTGTAACCTGCTTGAGTGCCATGGTGTTCCTGCTCTTGGATCCTGATCTTTAGCCCTCAGCTCCGCGCATCTGGCATCAACACAGATCCAGAACTGCCTGCAACTCTAGCACTAATGCCACTGCGTGCCCTCACACTCTCTGTCACCACCTTCAGGAGTGCTGGGCAGGAGGTGCAAGAGGAGCCCCCTCATCTACTCAGTCTTGACCAGGTACATGAGAAGTTGTTGGGTTTTCCCTAATTAAAACAGTTCCCCTCAATGTATAAGAACCCTACAGGACTCCAACATCTAATATAATACAGGGTATGTTCCTCATAATTAATGAAATACCAACTAATGGCCACCATATTTTTGGATAAAACCATTGTTCATGAGAGCTGTGAAAAAGTGGAATAGACTCCCTCAAGAGTTGGTTGTGGCCAGCTCAGTGGATTGCTGTAGGAAAGTCCTGGATTCTTTCTTGGATACACAGAATATAACTGGATATAACATTTATAGGGAAAGTTGATCCAGGGAATATCCGATTGCCTCTCGGGGGATCAGGAAGGAATTGTTTTCCCTGCAGGAGCAAAGTGTATCGTGCTTTGCTGGGTTTTTGCCTTCCTCTGGATCAACTGTGGGTGTAGGATTATAATTTTTTTTTTTTTGTTGAACTGGATGGACTTTTGTCTTTTTTCAGCCAGACTAACTATGTAACTATGTAAGACTGAGCTAAGCTTGGTCTGACTTGGTGGTAGGGCAGGGCCATGATCAAAGCTGGTACGGCCCGCCATGGGCATCCGCACCTTTGTACTGCTTTCTGCTGTTTCCAATCATGTTACACAAAAAACATTTAACAGCAGAAAAGTCAACAGACTGACCTCATAAGCAAAATTTGGCTGAGCAGAGTTGGTCATTTCTGCTGTATTAAAAGTGCGCTTCCTCTACTGGTACTCGTGTGGTCATTTACAGCAATGGCGGTCTAGCCCTTTTGTCAGGGTACAAGTAGAGCAAAGCTTGTTAGCGCCAGCCTATCACAGTCCCACAATTAGAAGCTGATCACCACCATTACCAGTGTGTGCATTTATTATTTTTGTCCAAAAGGTGAACTTATCCTTTAACCATTTCCCATCTGGGCATTGTATATAAACAGCCGGACGGTGGCAGTGCAGGGGTGGGTGGCTGTTTATAAACGGCCTCCCCACCCCCTGCTTGTGCGCGCTCCCTGGGAGCGCGCAGCACCGCGATCTGGTGCCCGGTGTGTCCTCCGGACACAGTGGAACACCGATCGTCGTACGGGACCTCTGTGCGAGGTCCCGATCATGTGATCACTGATTGGCCAATCAGTGATCACATGCAGAGTAGTAAGCAAGATGTCACTTCTGACATCATTGCTTACGTGTGAACTCTGTGAATGATCACAGAGATCACATGGTACAGGGCTATTCACAACAGCCTTGTACCATGTGACAAGCTGTGACCAATCACAGGTCACACAGTATTTCTCAATGGCTGCAAGAATGCAGCCAGAGAGAAGGAGAAATGATTGCTTTTACAGCCTTTATGGGTGTAAAAGCAATCAGTGTAAAAAAAAAAATCTTCATCACCCCCACAAGTAGTACAGTGTCACCATGGTGACCACTGTACTGCTAGGGTGACAGTATGTAAAAAAACAAAAACAAAAAACATAAATAATAATATAAAGAAATAAAATAAAAATTTAAAAAAATTTTTTTTTAAAAAATTATAATTTTTGGTTATAAACTAATTTGGGTTTTTTTGTTTTTTTTTACTAAAAAGATAACGGAATAAATTTTGGCCAAGATTTATGATGAAATATTATTTATTTGCAAAAACTTTGCACTTTTTCATTTACATAGCAAAATAGCAAAAAAAAATAAAAATCCCAGTGGTGAAGAAATACCACCAAAATAAAGCTTTATCTGTCTCAAACAAAATGCTAAAAAATTTATATGGGTACAGTGTTGCATGATCGCGCAATTGTCATTCAAAGTGTGATAGCGCTGAAAGCTGAAAATTGGCCTGGACAGGAAGGGGGGGAAAGTGTCCGGACTGGAAGGGGGTGAAAGTGTCCGGACTGGAAAGGGGTGAAAGTGTCCGGACTGGAAGGGGGTGAAAGTGTCCGGACTGTAAGGGGGTGTGAAAGTGTCCGGACTGGAAGGGGGTGAAAGTGTCCGGACTGGAAGGGGGGGTGAAAGTGTCGGACTGGAAGGGGGTGAAAGTGTCCGGACTGGAAGGGGGAAAGTGTCGGGACTGGAAGGGGGTGAAAGTGTCCGGACTGGAAGGGGGTGAAAGTGTCCGGACTGGAAGAGGGGTGAAAGTGTCCGGACTGGAAGGGGGGGAAAGTGTCCGGACTGGAAGGGGGGTAAAGTGTCCGGACTGGAAGGGGGTGAAAGTGTCCGGACTGGAAGAGGGGGAAAGTGTCTGGACTGGAAGGGAGGGAAAGTGTCCGGATGGAATGGGGTGAAAGTGTCCGGACTGGAAGGGGGGGAAAGTGTCCGGACTGGAAGGGGGTGAAAGTGTCCGGACTGGAAGGGGGGGAAAGTGTCCGGACCGGAAAGGGGGGAAAGTGTCCGGACTGGAAGGGGGGGAAAGTGTCCGGACTGGAAGGGAGGGAAAGTGTCCGGACTGGAAGGGGGTGAAAGTGTCCGGACTGGAAGGGGGGGAAAGTGTCCGGACTGGAAGGGAGGGAAAGTGTCCGGATTGGAAGGGGGTGAAAGTGTCCGGACTGGAAGGGGGTGAAAGTGTCCGGACTGGAAGGGGGGGAAAGTGTCCGGACTGGAAGGGAGGGAAAGTGTCCGGATTGGAAGGGGGTGAAAGTGTCCGGACTTGAAGGGGGGAAAGTGTCCGGACTGGAAGGGGGTGAAAGTGTCCGGACTGGAAGGGGGGGGGGAAAGTGTCCGGACTTGAAGTGGTTAAAGATCAGCCCATTGTAGCTTTAATGTTACAGGGCGGCCCCGCTCTGCGCAGAATCATGTATATATATATAAATTAATTTAACAAAATAAACAAATAATAATAAAAATAAATAAATAAACGTATATCATGTACATAAATTACCTTATGAAAAAAAAAATAATTCCAGTATATATCCCATAGTTTGTAGACGATATAACATTCATACAAACCACTTATTGGGATTATTTTTTTTTTTTTTTACCAAAGACGTGACAGAATACAGTTTGGCCTAAATTTATAAAGATATTTGTTTGTTTCATTTATTTATTGGATATGTTTTATAACAGAAAGTAATATATTTTACATACACTATATTGCCAAAAGTATTGGTCCCCGCCCTTTCCACGCACATGACCTTTAATGGCCCCCCAGTCTTAGTCCGTAGGGTTCAATATTGAGTTGGCCCCGCCCTTTGCAGCTATAACAGCTTCAACTCTTCTGGGAAGGCCGTCCACAAGGTTTAGGAGGGTGTCTATGGGAAGGTTGGACCATTCTTCCAGAAGCACATTTGTCAGGTCAGGCACTGATGTCGGGGGAGGAGGCCTGGCTCCCAGCCTCCGCTCTAATTCATCAAAAGGTGTTCTATGGGGTTGAGGTCAGGACTCTGTGCAGGACAGTCAAGTTCCTCCACCCCAAACTGGCTCCTCCATGTCTTTATGGACCTTGCTTTGTGCACTGGTGCGCAGTCATGTTGGAACAGGAAGGGGCCATCCCCAAACTCTTCACACAAAGGTGGGAGCATGAAATTGTCCAAAATGTCTTGGTATGCTGACGCCTTAAGAGTTCCCTTTACTGGAACTAGGGGGCCAAACCCAACCCCTGAAAAACAACCTCACACCATAATCCTCCCTCCACCAAACTTTACACTTGGCACAATGCATTCAGGTAAGTACCGTTCTCCTGGCAACTGCCAAACCCAGATACGTCCATCGGATTGACAGACAGAGAAGCGCGATTGGTCACCCCAGAGAACATGTCCAGTGGTGGCGTGCTTTACACCACGGTATAAAACGCTTTGCATTGCACTTGGTGATGGAAGGCTTGGATGCAGCTGCTCGGCCATGGAAACCCATTCCATGAAGCTCTATATGCACTGTTGTTGGGCTCATATGAAGGCCACACCAAGTTTGGAGGTCTTTAGCTACTGACTCTGCAGACAGTTGGCGAATTCTGCGCACTGTGTGCTTCAGCATGCGCTGACCCCGCTCTGTCATGTGACGTGGCCTACCACTTGGTGGCTGAGTTGCTGTTGTTCCCAGTTGCTTCCACTTTGTTATAATCCCACTAACAGTTGAGCGTGGAATATTTAGTAGCCAGGAAATGTCACGGATGGACTTATTGCACAGGTGGCCACCTATCACGGGACGCTTGGAGTCACTGAGCTCCTGAGAGCGATCCATTCTTTCACCAATGTTTGTAGAAGCAGTCTGCATGCCTAGGGGCTTGATTGTATACACCTGTGTCCATGGAGGGGATTGGAACATCTGATTTGGAGGGCTGGTCCAATATGTTTGGCAATATATTGTATATACAGTGGGGAAAAAAAAAAAGTATTTAGTCAGCCACCAATTGTGCAAGTTCTCCCACTTACAAAGATGAGAGAGGCCTGTAATTGGCATCATAGGAGACCTCAACTATGAGAGACAAAATGAGAAAAAAATCCAAACAATCACATTGGCTGATTTGGAAAGAATTTATTTGCAAATTATGGTGGAAAATAAGTATTTGGTGAATATGAAAAGTTGATCTCAATACTTTGTTATATATCCTTTGTTGGCAATGACAGAGGTCAACGTTTCCTGGAAGTCTTCACAAGGTTGGCACACACTGTTGCTGGTATGTTGGCCCATCCTCCATGCAGATCTCCTCTAGAGCAGTGATGTTTTGGGGGTGTCGCTGGGCAACACGGACTTTCAACTCCCTCCAAAGGTTTTCTATGGGGTTGAGATCTGGAGACTGGCTAAGCCACTCCAGGACCTTGAAATGCTTCTTACGAAGCCACTCCTTCGTTGCCCGGGTGGTATGTTTGGGATCATTGTCATGTTGGAAGATCCAGCCACGTTTCGTCTTTAATGCCCTTGCTGATGAAAGGAGGTTTGCACTCACAATCACACAATACATGGCCCCATTCTTTCTATCCTGTACATGGATCAGTCGTCCTGGTCCCTTTGCGGAGAAACAGCCCCAAAGCATGATGTTGCCACCCCCATGCTTCACAGTAGGTATGGTGTTCTTTGGATGCAACTCAGCATTCTCTCTCCTCCAAACACGACGAGTTGTGTTTCTACCAAACAGTTCTATTTTGGTTTTCATCTGACCATATGACATTCTCCCAATCCTCTTCTGGATCATCCAAAGTGCTCTCTAGCAAACTTCAGACGGGCCCGGACATGTACTGGCTTAAGCAGGGGGACACGTCTGGCACTGCAGGATCTGATTCCCTGGCGGCGTAGTGTGTTACTGATGGTAGCCTTTGTTACGTTGGTCCCAGCTCTCTGCAGGTCATTCACTAGGTCCCCCCGTGTGGTCCTGGGATTTTTGCTCACCGTTCTTGTGATCATTTTGACCCCACGGGGTGAGATCTTGCGTGGAGCCCCAGATCGAGGGAGATTATCAGTGGTCTTGTATGTCTTCCATTTTCTAATTTTTGCTCCCACAGTTGATTTGTTCACACCAAGCTGCTTGCCTATTGCAGATTCAGTCTTCCCAGCCTGGTGCAGATCTACAATTTTGTTTCTGGTGTCCTTCGACAGCTCTTTGGTCTTCACCATAGTGGAGTTTGGAGTGTGACTGTTTGAGGTTGTGGACAGGTGTCTTTTATACTGATAACAAGTTCAAACAGGTGCCATTGATACAGGTAATGAGTGCAGGACAGATGAGCCTCTTAAAGAAGAAGGTACAGGTCTGTGAGAGCCAGAAATCTTGCTTGTTTGTAGGTGACCAAATACTTATTTTCCAGCATAATTTGCAAATAAATTCTTTCCAGATCAGCCAATGTGATTGTCTGGATTTGTTTTCTCATTTTGTCTCTCATAGTTGAGGTATACCTATGATGCCAATTACAGGCCTCTCTCATCTTTTTAAGTGGGAGAACTTGCACAATTGGTGGTGACTAAATATTTTTTACCCCATTGTATAATAATTAAAAAAATGTTTCAAAATTTTCGGTCTTTACTCATTAATATAATTAAAAAATCAGTGGTGATCAAATACCACCAAAAGAAAACTCTATTTGTGTGAAAATAATATCAATCTCATTTGGATACAGTGTGCATGATTGAGCAATTGCCAGTCAAAGTAGTGCAGTGCTGAATAGCATAAAATGCTCTGGTCATGAAGGGGGTAAAACCTTCCAGAGGTCAAGTGGTTAACATTCAGTTTTGGAATGAATGGACTTTCCCAAATGAAAATCACATTCACTGTTAGAAATTTGTACGACTCTCCCACTCCACCACCACTGAGAAAGAGAAGGCGAAATATGCTAAGAGAGAGTGGTGGAGGTGAGAAATGAATGATGAATGAAGTACATAGGAATGTAGAGGTTGGAGTTGGTCTGATGATAGGTAACAGAGAGGAGGATTAAGGAAAAGATCAGGATAATTGATATTATAAATTTTTTGAACTTCCTTCTCTCTTTTATTTTAGTTTTTTTTGTTTGTTTGTTTTTTGTAATGTGTAATTAATTTGTTTGTTTTGTTATTATAAAGATATTGTTTTGAAAAATTAATACAATTTTTTGTAAAAAAAAAAAAAATTTGTAAAACAAAATTTCCATCCTGCTCCTTCAAATTTTCTCGTCCCGAAAACCAATGCCAATTTTATTCCACTAACCAATAGAACAGGGGTTTCCAAACTTCTTAGACAAAGGGCTGGTTTGCTGTCCTTCAAACTTTAGGGGGTCCAGACTGTGACCAGTGGGAGAAAAAAATATCCTGGCGTCAGTGGGAGTAAACAAAGCCCCATCATTGGTTTTAGGGGGAGGAATAGTTCCCCATCATTGGTGTCAGTGGGAAGAATAGTGCCCCATCATTGGTTTTAGGGGGAGGAATAGTGCCCCATCATTGGTATTAGTGGGGGGAATAGTGCCCCATCGGAATAGTGGCCCCATCATTGGTATCAGTGGGAGGAATAGTGCCCCATCATTGGTGTCAGTGGGAGGAATAGTGCCCCCCATCATTGGTGTCAGTGGGAGGAATAGTGCCCCATCATTGGTGTCAGTGGGAGGAATAGTGCCCCATCATTGGTATCAGTGGGAGGAATAGTGCCCCATCGTTGGTATCAGTGGGAGGAATAGTGCCCCATCATTGGTATCAATGGGGAGAAATAGTGTCCCATCATTGGTATCAGTGGGAGGAATAGTGTCCCATCATTGGTATCAGTGGGAGGAACAGTGCCCCATCATTGGTGTCAGTGGGAGGAATAGTGCCCCATCATTGGT